GCCATTGAATCAGTTCCCACTCTAATGACCCTATTTAGGACTTCTAAGGCTTTAAGTCTTGGAGGGACCAAAAAACCTTATCTTTCTCCCACGAAAAGGTTGGTGGGCTCACAGTCCAGTGGTTATTGTCTGGAACTCCCACAGTCTCATAATTGTACATTCCTAGTCTAAATCACATGTTATATTAAATAATTACATGAATATAGCCATACTCCTTTTTTCCACTCTCAAAATATGCATATAATAACTTTCTCAAATGCCTCACATGCATCTTTTATATCATGTCTATTAATAGAGCCACATTTTGAATCGTATATCAGTTTTACAAAGTACATTATCTTCGGGTCCATCTATGTTTGAAAATCAGTTTTTTGAATCTATGTATGTTGCTAGGAATTCTGGTTGTACAGTGGTTAAGTACTCAGCTGCTAAACAAAATGTCAGCAGTTCAAACCCATTAGCTACTCAAATGTGGTCATTTGCTTCCATAACGATTTTAACCTTACCTAAGGAGCTCTGATAGCATAGTGGTTACGAATCAGGCTGCGATCCTCAAGATCAGCAGTTCGAAACTACCAGCTGCTCCGCAGAAGAAAGATGAGGCTTTCTGCTCCCATAAAGATTTACAGCCTCAGAAACCCTGTACAGGGTCACTATGAGTCGGAACCGACTCCACAGCACATCACCTCCATCACCACCACCACGTGGGGCAATTCTACCCTGCCTATAGGATCACTGTGACTCAAATTGATTTAATGACAATGGGTTTTGTTTGAGATTTTGAGAATGATGCTGTCGTCTGTACGGCACCCTAGGAAAAGCAGTAGATCTCAAGGTTGGTTTGAATTGCAAGGTTGATGGTTCAAATTCACTAGTCACTCCTTGGAAACACTATAGAGGTTACTTTGAGTCGGAAACGACTTGATGGCATACAACAACAAGAACATAAACAACTGTCATTGGAAAAGGTGTCATCAAGAGCATAAGTACCCACAGTTTTTTAATATTACCTTTATTCTATGCTTATATATGCAAGTGATTTTTTAAAGGCTATAATTATTACAATAATAGACAGTAATCATCTTTTTTGGGATAATATTCCCAGAAATAATTATTAAATTTCCTTGTGTTTTTTTTCTCTCCTCCTTTTTTACCTCTCCCCTTTCAAATTTTTCTTCTCTTTTTCATTTTCTCTTCATCCTTCTAATAATAATTTCTATCAGCTAGCATCTATGTTGTTGTTGTGTGCCTCAAATCTGTTCAGACTCATAATGACCCAGTATAGAATTTCTGAGGAGTGGCTGGTGAGTTTGAACCACTGTTTTTGTGGTGCTAACTAACCTTGTGGTCCAGTGCTTATCCTACAGTACCAATTGATAAGCATACAAAATTACCATCGACTGAGGCCTTTGAAAGTAATGTGCCATCCCAAATAATGCTTTCCCAAACTTGACAGTTAAAAGTTAAAGGCATCTGTATTATAATTATAATAGACCATATAAAGATCCAGATGAAGGTTTTCTTCAATCCAGATAAAGATGCAGATTCTGCTAAATACATTTTTTTTTGTTTTTGCAAAATCTTTTAATGAGAGGATTATTATAAATTTTTTTGTACATGTGGAAACTGAGGTGGTCCTTGTTTTTTTTAAGCTATGTCTCATCCTATTCATTTCATTATACTACACTGATATTTATATTAAAGATGATAAAACCTAAGTTTTAGAGTTGCTTCAATAAATTCTTAGATGCTGATGTTGTTGTTAAGATCATCAAGTCAGTTCTGACAAGGAGCTCTGGTAGTGTATTGGTTACGAATCAGACGGCAAACCTCAAGGTCAGCAGTTCAATACTAAGAGCTGTTCCATGGGAGAAAGATGAGGCTTTCTGCTCCCGTAAAGATTTACAGCCTTGAAAACCCTGTGCAGGGTCGCTATGAGTCGGAACCGACTCCATGG